TGCCTCGATGATTTCGTACGGTGTACACGCAACAATAGGCGGAAACGTCGAGCGTTATAAAAGGAGCACCGCGAGGGAGAGAAACGCCGGACAGGAACACCGGTGGCCCGATAAAGAACCGGGCCGAATCAAAGATTCTCGGGGAAACGGTGAGCCTGTCTCCTGCATATGGCACTCGGAGATCGGCTCGGATAGTTACGGTGTCTGGACATCGTAATTGGGTATTCGCGAACGCTAAACCTGCCGCCGCGCTTTTCGATACGATCCAAACGATTTTTCGGCGCGGCCTCGAATTTCAATCCTTGTTTCGCTGGAAACTTACTCCTTTCATTTATTCACTCATTCATGCACTCGTTTATGTACGATTTCATTTATTCAGATATTCGTCCATTTATATTTATAGTTTGTTCATATCGTTCATTTATTCGTACATTAATCTAATTGCTCGTTTAATTCAATCATTTATTCAATCATTAATATATTTTGTCATCTAATCGATCACTTACTCAGCCACTAATTGATTTGTTCATTTATTAAATCACGTAGTAATTTATTAATTTATTAATTTATTCATGCATTTGTTTATGCATTAGTTTATGTCTTCAATTCAACTATTATTTAATCATTCATGTATGCACTCATTTATTGATTCATTTATTTCCTCATTTATTTTACATTCTAATTGTGAAAATTCTACTTGATCCTATCCGAGCGTTTGTTTAATTTAGACCACAACATTACACATGAAATACTAACATAATAACGTACGTATTGCAATAGGAAACTAAAAATACACGACCAACAAATATTTTCTCAACGTAAATATTCGGATTAAAAAAAGTAATGTAACTTCGTATTTCAGGAAGGTAAAAAATGATAGAGAAGCAGAAAAGGGAATCGGTGAACATAATACGATATCCGTATCGCCGAGTATAAATTCTCGCCACGTTCGTTACGTCCTACACGCTATCGGGCACCAACAATTCAATTAAATTCCTCATATATCATCGAGCGATGGTAAACAGCCGACATCTTGGCGAATGAACGATTCTCGCCACGCTTATGGTAATCGCGTAATGCCCTCCAGCCCCGGTATTTTCATTCCGAATGTTATTCAAGAGCATCCGAGACATTCGTGACGTAGCCAAGAAGTCGTTTCCCTCGTGGCTGCCGATTTCACTCCACATACCGTCCCTTTATTCTTCGTCCGCCGTCTGTTTTTCTTCTTCAAATCGCGCGATGTCCAGACTGGCAGGCTCATTGTCCGCGGCTAGATAGAGAGTTTGCATTGCAGATTCGAGACCGATACAATCTGGCCGGCCTGTTGCCAGAACCGACAGACGTAGACGTAGACGTCTTGGTTACGTGCCTTGCGACGAGAATTCATCTCGACGGACGAATTCTCATACTTCTGCGTGTATCATAGAAATTGTAACGCTGATAACGCCTTATTTATGGCATTTTCACGAGGATAATGTAAATAATTATGGCCGATGATAGTTCTGTACCTCGGAGGATAGATAGTTTCGAAATTTGGCATTTTAAGTAGAAAAGCATAATATTGGACAGGCGATTTATTATATTTATCCTAAATGGACTTATTATTACCTTTTGGAGACAAACTACGTTAAGTGTAATAGAAGTTTGCCATTTTACATAACAATGGAATGTATGTAAATATAGATATATTAATTAGATAACCCACATTTGTTTCATCTTTCTAAAATATGAATTTTAATCCAATAAAAATAGTTCCTAATAATGTGGAAGTTACAAATGCTACAGTTCCTTAAAAGCTCCCCATTCTGATCAGTATACCAGCCGAAAAAAAAAACACTAAAATTTGTCCTTTTCATCCCCCGTTCTTCCTACACTAAGAAGAAAATCCAACGCAAACCATCGAAGCCTCAAGACTTTTCCAAACAAATTACGCGCTTCGCACGCGTTCCTTTGCACCTTCCAAAATTACATTTCTCACCTATTTCCTACCCGAAATCAGATTCTTAATCACGCTTTACGAAATCACCGTTACGAGCTGCCAGGAAAATCTAGGCGTGTACGAAAGCGTCGCGCAAAGTGGCCGTACGGGCAGGCACGGAACATCATGGGAATTAAGGGCGAAACATCTTTATTGGCGCGTACGGTACACGCGTAACAATCGTGGCCATTGATCGTTAGCTCGTTAATCCCAGTGATCGATAATTCGGCGCACGCAACGGGTCGAAATCGTCGCTGGTACAATGACTCGGTGGCCGCGTTAATTGGTCGATGAAGCGATAAGCACGGGCAGGAGATTATATTGTAAGTACACCACCGTGGCAGATATGCAAATGATTATTAATTATTAGCACCGTCGATCGTTACGTCGTCGAACACGGGCTGGGCCCGAATCGATGCTCCTATGAATTCCTGTAGACCGATGCCGGATGATAAAGTTTAATTAAGGATCGTATTAACGCGGCCGTGGATAGAACGCGCGAGATGATAAGCAGCGGACTGAGTGAGCGGTTAGAGAGCAGGTGCACGGATAATTATACGTTTTCCTCCTATATCGTCGCATGCTACCGGAATAATTAAGCGAAACTGATGAGCGTGTTCGCCCCGACCGTCGGGACTTCTCCTTCTGCCGTGGTGTTCTCCCGTCCGGCAGTTTCGTGAATTTTTAATTTGCGCACCGATGCACCGACCCTTCCTCCCCCGCCCGACCCCTGTCCAAATTAACGTTGTTAATGCCAGCGCGTTCCACGGGACGCGTCAATGATAATCACGCTCGGTTGGCTGGTTAACTTTCAGAGTAATCGTTTGTTGACGGGTATAGCCCGTTCTTTTTTTGACTCGACTCTTGATTTTCTCGCGAGCACCACAGTCTCCTCGAAGGATCATTAGACACTCAACTCCGACGAGTTGAACGAGTAATTCGAACGGCGAAGCGAACTGTCGAGTCTAAATAAACCGTGAGCAAGTCTACTTTTTTGCCTGAAACAGTGTCTGTAATTTAATTTTAATCTAACATGGTCGCGAGGTTATTTATAAGCTAAATTGGAGTATTTCATAGCGGGGTATAGAAAAAATTTTCATTGTTTGGTATTATTAGACTGAGAATTTTTGCGTTATAGCGATCTATGGTGACAATTTTTATTGTACAACCAGGTATATTAAAAATTAGATATATTAAGGCATATTAAAAGATTGTACAGAGATGTGGACTAAAATTTACTATTTTTTAACAAAGTATACTTAATATATCTGTACTATAATAATTATATGCATACTGAAAATTTGTGTTCTGTAACAATATGCACTGAATGTTTGAATTATTTATATATAAAGATGTAATGATCAATATTTCTATTTTCCAATGGTGTGTGCCGGAAGTTTCTATTCTATAATAAAATATAAATTGAAAATGTCTACCTCATAGCTCAACTATAACATCGTACACTAAAATATGTTATTCTACAATAAGATATAAATATATCCACTTCAGACCTACAACATTAATTTCACGACTCACCATTGAGTCGCGATCTCTAAACTGAAAAACACGACCATAAATGGCGTCAGAAGTCAAACTTGGCGGAAATAATACCCAGGGGAGTCCCTCGAGCGATTCAAAGCGGTTCGTTCCGCGAACTTTCACCGTCGAACAACGTGTCGTGGGATTGTCCAGCGTAAAATTGCAAAACGCATTCTACGCGAGCGACTCGGCGTGCTTCTTCGTCCCGGCCTCTCTCCTTCGCTCTCGACGTTGCATGAGCGCGTTTTCTCAGCATCATCGCTCGTGCTACATAGAGTATTGACTCATTGCACGAGGAACGCCGGCAACGGAGATTTCTCCGGCCAGATTACGACAGGAACACCGCTCGTCGTTTTGCTACACGGCCTACGATTTACTTGCGATGGGCTTCGACGTACGCGCCGCGGTTTTTATGGCTCTCGGTTTCTCGGATTCAGGCTTCTCGTCGCGAGCCATAAGGGAGATTTATTTAAATCGCGCGTTTCCCCACGGGACGCTTTAAATCGCGATTGTTTTCTTGCGGACATCTGTACGCTATCCGTGGGGATACATAGATTCTCGCGATGGAATATTGTTTCCGTGACGATAAACTAGCAGCTTCCATCTAATGTTTTTGAGCGTGTAATAAATTGTCTCCATTATGTAGCAACTCCTTCGTTGAACAATTGTTCAGATTTTCTGTAGAATATGTCTAACGAATAAATTTGTCGAGTAATGTTTATTATTCTCTGTGATAGATCCGAATTTTTATTTATTATTTATTTGTTTTCCTTGTTTCATAAATTAATTAATTGAGAAATATGAAATTGTGAGAGGATTCGATGATGCAGAATCAGATAAGTTTTAATTCATGTGTTCACTTTTCAAGCTGATAAATGGGTTATTAAATTAAGTAGGTAGATGCTGTTTCTAATTATACAGAAAGAGTATCAATTTATTTTTCTGTGTAATTCTATCACGATACAAATTTTACTTAAAAATGCGTCTGACTTAAATTTCATAAAGATCAACATTCGAGTATTTTGTATTAACTGTGTGATTTAATCCCAATTGCGAATATGAAAGTACTACAATACAATTTTCCAAAACTATGTAAAAAATCATGTTTTCCCTAACCATTCAGTCTACTTTATCACAAATGACTTGCCTTGTCATACAATCCTCGTCTACTTCAACATTCAAACACATTTCTTGCACGAAAGCTTTCTAATTTGTAAGAATCGACAAGAGGGAAGACATATTCTCCAGAAAACATAAACCATTTGTATTCCTTTACGATCCTTGGTTAACATATTCCGTTCTTTATTCATATCCATTCTCCCTCATCAATTCTATGAACGTAATCGTCGAGTAATATAGCGACGCTCGAAACGTCCGAGAGCAGTCGTGTATACCCATATCGTAATAATTGCAGTAATTTAACAGACACGAAATACGCGAAAGCGTCGTGACTGTGCCACGACAAAAATGACTACGAACATACCTTGGGGTCGAAGTTGAAGACCTGTTCAGGTTTTAACGGGCATTCGAGGCCGCATTTACAGGTTCCCACTGTCGTCAGGTACTCCTTCAGCTGATCCAGCGAACCCAGCGCTGTACTGCTTGGACTGCAACAGAAGGAAAACGAAATTCACAAACGGAAGTGGTCACGTGTGTAGGAATATTTATGGGACTGACTCTAGTTTTTATTCTCTTTGATCAAACTAAATTTTACCGATTACGGATGATACTTTTTACACAGCTGACAATGTATTAAAAAAAAGCTTTATGCGAAAAATACCAAATGCAAGATGTAACATCTATTATGGGACACCGTAGTAAACCCACGATTAATCATGAAACTCGCTTGTCGGAATAGAGGAAGACGCAAGGCTGACCACCGAACGGGAAGACGGGTTATCACCTATCGCTCTCTGACGTCGAATCCCCGACAGCGATGCTTTGCAAGCAACTAATTCAACGAAGGGATCTTCGCCGGCGGTTCAAGTTGAATCAACGAGCTGAAACGGAGGCAGGGTCGTTGGTTGTATATTGATTACCCTATAGAGGGACAGAGAGACTTTGTTTCGGGGTACTTTGCAGCTTCCTAAACTAATAACCTCGGGCGCTTCATCCCGGCATTATAACCCCGAGGGAAGGTTCGCCTTTCCCGCCCGATCCCAGTCCACAGGAATTCTCTTGGCAATTATTCCTCGTAACAACAAGACGAATTCGTGTACCCACGTTCGCGCTAATTTGCGCTGGATTCGATTTGTTCGTTGCGATGCCATCCCCCTGTTTCGCTCTGTTTTCTCCCTTTGTCGCGCTCGTCGTGAATTATGACATTACGAGATACATATTTCTACTTCACCATGGATTATCGTTGCTGGACAAGAAAAACTTTGGCTGTGATATCGTGTTGGAGAATAAATTTGTATTTTATATTATGTTAAACTGTAGTTTTCCGTTCAGCTTTAGTTAATGATACTGTTATGCCAATGTGGCTGGCAATGATGTTGTGTGTGGTTATAAATAAATTTTACTTTTTAATATCAATAACTAGTAAAATTGTAAGATGTTCAGTTCGTTGGAGGATAAAACCAAAAACGAAGGATATAATTAATCAATCCCATTAAATACTCGATGTGTTACTCTCTGGAATTTACAGGATACACGGTAAAAATTAATGTACTTTTGTAGACGTCACTTAATCTTTCTCTCTGCAGTTCTATCTCTTCAAATATCATTTCAAATAGTAGATACTAAATAGTCTATTTTATTTCAAATTTTGCGTGCGTAATTATAGAAATAAAATTAATTACTTGTTGCAGTACGTTCATTGAATAATATTTAAAAATATTTTCTTTTTTCGTCCTCAGTGAATTACATTGAACTCCGGTGATTCAGAGTTAAGAGGACCTCTTTAGAGGCCTAACAAAATTCAAATTTCGTGACGTTAAACATGATCGGTATTACGCGAGAGTTGGTAACATGAGCGATGGCGCATTTCCTTGCAAAGCCACGACACCGGATTCAACCAACAGCTGCGATTCTATAAATAAGGGTTGCGGGGAAGTCCTTCTGTTTCCAGGGAGCACGTGAAGTGTGTCGAGGCATGTCGCACGAAGTACAGAGCCACACTGGATGAATTATATCGGTTAGAAGGGCCTGGCTAAGCTGCTTGTCCTCGTAAAGCGAATTCTGTTGCCAACGAAACCAGCAGCAACTTTTACATCACCCCTAACACAATCCATTCGTGTTCTCGCCACTACCTGTTTGGTTGTTTACAACTAATTTGTTAAATTTCTCTTTCGTAGGAGATATCGAATGTGTTCATTTACATCGCCATTAAAGTATTATCATTATACGTACAAATCTATCACAATATTCACTTTCATATTAATAATGAATTAATCACAATCGATATTGTTCTAGAGCAATTTAGTTTGGAAACTTTTAATCTAAAGGCAGAAGTCCTTATGATTTTTTTTTTAGGTGATACCATTCGGTCTTGTAAATTAAAAAAATTATTAGTCATTATATAATATGTCGAAAAATCATATATATTCATAACCATTCCAATATTCCTGAGAATGCAATAAAAGTATACTCTAAAAAGAAACTAAACCTATAAGCTTTCTTCACAGCCATACTGTGAGACATTTATTTCGATAGCTAATTTCGACAGATTTCCCATTAAAAACTTTTTAAAATGCTCGATAATTCGCATCAACATGTTTGAAAATATCTCATCGCTTCCCACCAGCGATACGTCAAGAACCTTCGCGTAGGAAAAACAAGCAACCAGCTATTTCCTTGTCGTTGACCATTGGCCGCAAACGAGGGAGAGACGAATGCCTGGAAGGAATTCCACACGTTTTTCGCGTTAAGATCGTAACAGTGACTGACAGCGTCGCGCACACGCGTGTTGCTGACAGGCTGCGACATTGCAACAGTCAGGTTCTCATAACCCTTGACTCGTGCCCACGTGTGTACCTGTAGCTGAGAATGCTGTCGACACGTGGACTGTACTTATCCGTGATCTATGAACGAAGTTTACCCTTCGCACACGCTTTGCTACGGTAACATGCACGCGTACCGAGAGGCGCGTCCACATGTTCCTTGGAATAACATGTATGGAGTGGTCTCTGGACCGAACGTGGGAAGGCGAGACGAATCCTTTCTTCGACTATGTCATTCTTCGTATGGGACGTCGCAAGGGCGTATGTTGAGATACAGGTAAATATCCAAGGGTGACGACAAACATATTTTTGTAAAACAAAGTAGAAATGAATTAACCCTTTGCACTCCCATGTCGAGTTCAAGAGATATCATACAGTTGAAAATTACAAAATACAACAAAAGTGAAAATAAAACTGGTATTTAAGTGAATTTGTTTATCTATTTAAATTGGCTGTGTATGATCCCATTCCATGAAAATTATAATGGGTATTCGAAAAAGTTCGTGGCGTTTTGTCGATCGATCAAGGCGAGAATGCTACGCAGGCTTGTGAAAAAATTGGTGGTTTTTACGAACAAAATGCTGTATCAAAATTTTGATGTCAAAGATGAATCACGCTGTGATCGATCGATCACAGAACGATGCGATGAAATCATGCAAATGGTTGAGAAACGCCACGAACTTTCTTTTCGAATACCCAATATTAATTTCACACGACGAAACTATAAATTATTCGAATAGGATAGCGATCGCATAATATTAAAAAGGGAACGTATGGATTTTCGAAACGTGGAAAGGTAATGTTGCCTCTTGAGCTCGCGGAATAGAGCAGAAGCGAAGATCACGAGTGATGAATCGCCGAAGGCAGGTCACAACGCTAGATATAACCAGGCGTACCAATTGGAATTGGCTCGTAATTCGCGGCCATTCCGATGGATGGCTTCACCCCGATAATTACCGTTCCACGATAAATTTATGACAGCAATAATTTACGCGGAAACTGCGGCCGACTGGCTCGATAAAGAGCGATTACCTATAAAACGAAGCTACGCCGCGCCGGCCGATGCTCCAACGCGGTTCACCGCGACGTGCACCCGTCACGTTTGTACAAAATTAAACTTTAAATCGTTGCGATAAGCTCGCTGTTTTCATGTACGCCGCCGTCCATTAGTCATCGCACGTTTGCTTGTCAGGCTTGAGAAACGCAAATTGAGATAGATACAATTTTATGAGGCGATCTTATTGCTAGACTGCGGGGTTTACGTGTAATAATACTGGAAAACGTATGCGATACGTGTACAAAATATTTTGATCATAAATGCCTAACATTCATATTTCATTTTGTATGAGTGTATGCATTTCACATACGTTTGGCGTATATTTTTAAAGCATTTCTGCAAGCTATAAATACGCATAATTTTACTTATTATCTTAGTATTATTTTATTTCTATTGTCATTGCCGTATTTTCATGTTTATTAGTATAAATTACATGTATATTATTTAACCCATAATGAGGACTCATATTTCAATGTAAAAAGTGATATAATGACTAGCATGTAAAGAACGTACAATTTCAAGTAATGTGAATATTAAACTAATAACGGAAATAAAGGAATGATATTTATGAAGGAGCTACACGAATATTCTGGGACTTAAGGTGTATTCATAGCATTCGAATGTTCAATTATTCAGGAGTCTCAACCCCAATCGACACCTGCCAATTTCGTCTAACTGAATATAACCTAATCTAACGTGGACTCAATTATTGGCTGATGACAAGGTGAAATATTTCAGTACATCACGAGTATACACCATGATTTGAATAACGCCATTATTCAAATGGTATTTTATTTCAGATGATAATCGAATAATAATATTTTATTTACAATGTTGCACATACTACTAGGGATATATGAGCAATCGTACACGAAAGCTATGAATACCGATACATGATTGAAATTTTCATTATTATTAATATAAAATTTGGAGTCTATCTCAAATTTCACTATAATTCCCATTATTTTTCTGTAATTAAGGCGAATGTTTTTCTAGTTGCGCTTCATATTCCAACCGAAAACATACACTACGTGTGCGGAAATACTGGCTAAAATTCTTATCACAAATTAATATACAATAAAACTAATACGTATGATCAACAGTCTCGATGGAGAAGAGCCAGAGTTTCTAAATAATAAAAATCTTAAAGAATTTGAACCAAAATTTCTCAGAAAACCGTTTATTACCTTCGGTTCCTTTGGTTTGTAAACAATCGTCGGGATCGGTAACACGCACGCGAATGGTCGTAGACGTCTGGAGGCATTCTCTCGGTTTCCCATAGAGACGAATCGCGGCGAAGCTGCGTTCGGCCGCGGCACGAAAGCGCCGCCGCAAATCAATAATCTCATTCGCAAGATCGTTCGTGCCCGATCAATTTCGGTGTCTATTACGCTTCGAAGAGAGCGGTCTCTATCCGCGGGCCTGCGGCGCGATATTATCTGCCAGAACGCTACGCAGGCCGGAAAGGGGCCCTGCCAGCGGACGGGAGGGCAGAACGGCTCGAATAATTTTCGACCACGAAAAGTGAAACGTTAACGGCGCCCGATCACGAACCGCTCGTTTCCTTCGGCTGTTTTGCACTTTTGTGTAGTGGTTGCTAGTAGTGATG